TGGAATGGTGAAGTGATAGAGTGAGGATAGGTGATAGGAAGGATAGGGAAGATTTTTATTGGTCATTCCTTCATCGAAGGAGCCGGTTTCCTTTAATATCCAATCTAATCCATCCGAATTTTCCTAAGCCAGAGGCTCGTAATCAATGTTTTGAGTCACATATCGATTCCATATATCATTATGAGTATGTTTATGTTCGGCATATTGGCGTGTTGCTGCAAGTTATTCTTGCATCGTCATTCCTAAAATATGAAATTGAAAAGCAAGCATAACCGTTGTATCTCTAACGAGGGTCGTGCATTAGCCTGCAAGGCTAAAGAAAATATAGTTTTCTTCAAAATGGTGGGGGCATGACCTGTTGTTATGTCCATATCCCATATAATGGAAAATATGATATCCGAAAATATCCAAATATTGGTGATAAAAATAATAAATAGTATTCTATTTAAAACATGGAAATTCTAACCGCATAGAAACACTATCTCGAAATGCAGCGCTAGTGAGCAACAAATCTTGAGCTTGACCGGGGCGTGCCCTAAGCCAACCATCTATTCTTGAGACAACAAAAATGCATAACCATAGTTGTCCCACTATATCCATTTATTCCATCAAGAAACGAGTTAGCTTAAGGTGCCAACAGAGTTATTTATTCTATCCCCATTCTCGGATCCTAAAGAACAAGATATCACGAGGCAAGAAATATATAATATATTATAAGGCCTAAGTGTCAAATCCAACATCAATTTAGACGAGAAAAACGAGATAAAAATCTAAAATAAATTGTAATCATTAGTGGTTTAATATCATCTAAATAAAGACCGCAAAATAAACATGTTCCAAGCTTATTTCTTTATAAATCAAGAAATTCCTAATCCCCTTTATTTAAATAATTTATTTTATAATCATTAAAATCAAAACAAAATAATTCCAAAAATAAATAATTCTATAATTTAATTTGGTTTATTCAATATTATATAAAATTATATCAAATTAATATAATTAAATAAAACCAAATTTTATATTATATTAATTTATATAATTATAATTGAATAAATAATTTGTTCTAAAATATATAATCAATATATTTATATATCGAATTAAAAATAAAATAATTAATAATTAAAAAATATAAAATAAAACTTATAATAAAATATAAAATCAAAAAATATATAAATAAAGTTAAAATAAAAAAATATTTTAAAAATCAAATCAAAATATAATAATAATAATAAATATATCTATCTATAAATACAAAAACTATATAATAAAAATCAAATTAAAAAAAATAAAAAAACTAAATATAAATAATTTATATTATAATATTTAAAATAATATATATTATATATAAAAATCATGTTTTTCTTAAATACATAAATAACAATATATAAATATCCCTTAAATTAACCCAAAATCGGCCAATTTCACCGCCTCATCATTAGTCTAAATCTAATATAATACCCTTTTTTAAAAACTAAACCAAAAAAAAATTCATTAAATCGCTCCGCCCCTCTAAAAATTATCTTTTATTCCTTCATAAATCTTTCAACCAAAACAATCCCATACAACATATACAAAAACCAAACCAAAAACAACCAAAACCATGTCGGATTCATATCCCAATAATATATATCATTAATCTCTCTCACTAAATTATTCAAACTTAAAATAATCCAACCTATATAATCTAAAACATAATATTTTAAACCTTACACTTACATATCATACACACCCAAACACAATATCCTCAATTTCCATCAATATTATCCTAATTCTTTCAACAACATAAAAACAAATCCCAAATTTTATAAGTTCATAATAATTAACCTACACAATATCAATTAAATTTCATTAACTCACAAAAATTAACCTATACAATATCAATTTCAAACAAATAAACAAACAAATAAACAAACAAACAAAACAAAAACAAAGACAAAAACAAAAACAAAAGACACAGACAGAAACAAAGACAAAGACAAACACCGACACACAGACACAAACACACAGACACACAGACACAGACACACAGACACAGACACGCAAACACACGCAAACAGACACAGACAAACAGACACAAACACACAGACACAGACACAGACGGACACAGACACAGACACAGACACACAGACACAGACAGACAGACACAGACAGACAGACACAGACAGACAGACACAGGACAGACAGATAGACAGACAGACAGACAAAGAAACAGATACCAGAGACAGAAAGACCAACAGACAAAGAGAGACAGAGACAGACACCGACAGAGAGACAGAAAATATATTTTTTGCAACTCAGGCACCAACGAAAAGCATGCTGCCGTTCTCCAAACACAGGTCGCGAGACGCACTGCGGGCCGGGCTGGTCGCGATAAGGTCACGCCAAAAAGTCAGTGAAAGGCGGTCGCCTGAGCAAGGTGAGAACGGATCCGAGGGCTGTTGGCCTCAAAAGATCCATCCACACACGCAGCTGTTGCAAGCGCAAGCGAAAACGCGATCGACCAGAAAACATCCTGGGTGCAAGCAAAGCCGAACTGATTTCCCTCAAAACACCAAAGAGTCAGTGAAAGGCGGTCGCCTGAGCAAGGTGAGAACGGATCCGCGGGCTGTTGGCCTCAAAAGATCCATCCACACACGCAGCTGTTGCAAGCGCAGCGAAAACGCGATCGACCAGAAAACATCGGCCGCGGCTCACAGCTTCTCGCATCGCCAAACTCTCGGAAAATTGATACGGACAGGCAGATATATGCCCCGAAAGCGAATCCGGCGCCAAATTTGTTGGAGGACCCCCCCTCGAAATTTCCAGCGATCAGCTTCAGAGAGTCAATTTTCATTGTGGCTAGGTCCTCCAGATTTGAGAGGTTGGGGGTTAGGGTACCAACTTTTTTCTGTAGTCTATTTTAGTAGGGGAACCCGGCCTCCCCCAGAAAGGGCACTACTGGGGGACATAGTCGAAAAGCTTCCGATGGCTAGCCTGACGGGCGATCAAAGGGAAATAGGGAAACCAATCATACTGTGGATGGACAAAATCCTGCACTAGATTGAAATATGGGAACCAATTTGTTGGTACTTGCAGAAGAATCATCATTCCAGAGAATCTTAGGTGGTGCAGGATTTCGTCCATCCATAGTAGGGGAAGTCCAAAAGTCAATCCAACTGGTGTTTGAAGATGATCGAGTGGATTGGCCCAAAAAGAACCCAACTTCTTATTTACCGCTAAAACGGTCTTGAGGAAACCACAAGGAAACAGACCATAGGGGACCGATTCCAATAAGATGCGCCCAATACGAGAACCGGCAATTTATCTGGAAGACACATCGGCTTCGTTCAAAGCCCGGACCATTCTTCCGAAATATCCCGGATATTTCGATAGTCGCACTCCAGACCATTTTTCCGAAATATTCCGGATATTTCGACGACAGCATTTCCCGAAATATTTGGAATATTTCGGGAAAATGGTCCCCGAAATATTCAGAATATTTCGAGAAAATGGTGGATGGCTGCGATTCCCGGACCGCTTCGCTTTCCCAGAATATCTGGAATATTTCGGGAAATTGGTCTCTACAAAAAATGAAGCCACTATGTCTTCCGCACATATGCCGGGGTAGCCCGGACAGATTTGGGCAAGCGGTCCGTAGGAAATATGAAGCGGTTACATCTTCCAGGGGCAATCCAGACCAATTTTCCGAAATATCCGGGATTTTTCCAAATATTTTTTAAACATAAATCAAATAAATTCAAAAATCAAAATAAAATTTAGGAAAAGCGGTCCGGGAAAACGCGCGCAAGTGCGACGAGCAAGTTTCACGGCTTCGTTTTATAGAGTAAATAAATAAATTTCCTAAAAATAAAAATAAAACAAGTCAAAAAAACACTAATATGGAAAGCAAAAATAAATTAAGGACAAGCAAAGTAAAAAACGAAGCAATAGAACACGAGAAAGAGCCAAAAACAAGAAAAACACAAGAATAAACAACAAACTATACTACGTAAAAAAAAACCTAACCACCCCCCGCACACGGCGACGACCAACTCCGGGGGCTTCGTTTTAATATCATTTTAGGTGTCGTTTAAAACACCAGCATACAACTACAATTATGGCGTCCCTAAACGAGAGAATAAACAACAACCCACAACAAACACAAACGATATCTCATACTAACATAAAACGAGTAGCCCAAACTACAATTACAAAACTTCGTTTTAGCATCTAAAGCTCTAACATAGCCAAAATAGAGCATGAGCAAAAAGAAACAAGCTTAAAGAAGGAAAACAGCAGCAGCAAAGAGCAAGAGCACCAGACGCAAGCGACATTTTCATACTAAAAAGAACGACGGATAGCCAATCCCCATACAAGGCAACCAACACAACTCTTAGGGGCGTACTTTAAACACGCAAATAAACGCGCGCTTGTTTCGGCCTAACATGTAGGAGCAAAGAGCAGCATAAACAAAAGGCATCGGACCGCATTTTTTTGCGTGCGCTTCTACAAACTCTGCCGCGGATATCAGAAAGACCGCCGAATATGATGCCACAGTGCTTTTCCAGGTCCGAAACGCGCGAAAAAACGATTCTACAAACTCTATCACGGGAATCAGAAGGACCGCCAAACATGATGCCAGAATGCATTTCGCAGCTTTAAGTACTAGCAGAGTATGAGCTGCCCCAGCTCAAGTAGCACAGTTTTTCAGTACTTGCGTATTAGACGAGTAGAGTTTCATCCCATGATAACACATAACCTTCCGCAAAACTTCCGCTCGCCCTTCCGCGGTCTTCCGCGACCACAGCGCCGTAACACCGACTATGCTTTCGTATTCAGTCCTTACAACAAAAAGCCATAGGGTTTTTTGGTCGATCCTCAAATATTCAAATTTATAATTTGGTTAGATATCCGAAGGAAAAGGATATCAAAAATTGAAAGTATGTATCGCCGCGACTATGTTCTTTGATTGAGGTCAAGGAATTGTCCAATCAGATATCCGTGCGCTGCTGCAAAAGATCTCATCCCTGGCTCTGCCCGATCCACTGTCATGTCTTTGGCAAGCAGGATGCAAGGCAAACAAATCTACTCCAAGCCTTTGTCATCGAGTTCATCAACTTTGCTCGCAACTGAACCTCAGTGTAGAGTAAGTCTCAATCAGTATGATGGTCCACCTTTGCTCACCTCCAGCTTGTTCCGCAGGACAACAGTCCTAGAATTGGGTGAAGTGAAGTGCATGGCAAGGCACAAGCAGCGGCTGCTTGCACATGGTGGTCCTGTTTTCTGCCCACTCAGCGTCGCTTTGTCCGTCTTTGTCGTTCTCGTCCTGCTAACCACTCTGCGACACGGTGAGACTCATACACCGGTGCGTCCTCGCTGTACGAGTCAGACTTGGCATCAGGCAAGTTGGCCTCATAGCTGCTGAGGAAGCGAACGGTGCAAAACTCTCGAAGGGCCTGCGTCCAGGGAGTTGCAGGTCGACCCCAAAAGTCCATGGCACCTCACACAGCAAAAGTTCCTCACATTCTATCTTAAGTTTCTGAGGGTATGACTGTCTTGCGGTGCTGAGGCTGGTGAAGCCTGTGACACATGGAGCATGGACCCTTCCACTTGGCAAAAAAGTAATGTAACAACTGCAACGGAGGGTGCCTGTGAAGAAATTTGAGTCTTCAGTTCTAACCTTGCAAACAAGCAACCCTGCCACATCATCCGTCACAATGCATCAACACAAAGACATTCAAAATAACGAGGCCACTGCAGCTTCTCCTTCAACTGCTGTCTTCGCTGTTCAAGGCCAGAGTCCAACCTTCAACCCACAGCAAAAGGCCTAAACGTGCTGCTCAGCTCAGGCCAAAACTTCTGAAGCTCTGGAGCTCCAGTTCCGTCCTCTTCTCCATTCGCCATCAAAGCCTCCGGCACCTGAGTTGAAGAGTTCACTTTCTCACTCGCAACAGGCTCTACACTCTCTACCTTGCGGCGCTTCTTTCGCTTGTGGCCTTCTTGATTTTCCTGGATGGAAAGCCATCAAAAACTCCAAGCAGCTCGTGGCACTGACAACAGTCCTTTGAGTGACTTCCGTTGCCGTTCTCCTTGATCCTTCAGCTGGCACGTTGAGAGCTCGGTGAAGCATGTTGCCACCTGGCCTCCTCTTTTTGACGGCTCCAGTTGGCTTTGACCTCACAGAATCCGTTTAAATCCACTTGTCCATCAAAACAGGCGAATGAAGATTCTGGCTGTCCAAGCTGATCAGCACACACCTGCATACCAGGTTCTCATGAAAAAGGTTGAGTAACTCGAGTAATGCTACTCCGCCTGAGGTAGGGCAGTATCGTCTGGCTGTGGTCTGGCAGCCTCACTCACATCGAGTCCGTGAGCCCTTCACTTCACTTGGAATCTGGCCGCCTTTGGCCGCAGGGAGGCGTCAGCCCTGTCGCTACGAATCACCATTCACTTTGATGAATCGAACTTCCTCGAATCTCCGGCCTTGTTTTTCTTGCAGCCTGCCTGTCACAGTTCCGGTCGACCATGTCGTGTGCTCTGCGCTAAGGCCACAGCTGGCCCAGATCCACATCGTCCCTCACACCTGCAGTGCACGCGCGCGTACTTCCCTTTTCTTGCTCTTGACACCAATTGATTGAAAAAGTGTTTGATGAAAGATGCCCCCTCCACTCCTTGCTGGAGTCTGCCAAAGCACACAACTAGGATTGAATAAGGCAGCCAAACGCTACAGGTACTATGACTCTTTGCTTCGCAGTTTGTCTCTGATGATCGAGTCAGAAGCTTCACTGGCCTGCCATGTTTTCACGGCCGATGTCGCTTGGTGGCTTTGGAAGCAGCGGAGGGAACACCTGCATGCAACGCCGCTCTTGCAAATGCAGCAATGAAACACTGGCCCAAGACTAACTCACTCACGAGCAATAGTCGACCCGGATCTTGTCCAGTGGCTGAATAAGATCACATTTGGCAGGTGGCGGCGGATATTTAGATTACAGCACGGCGACTAGTGTTTTTTGCTTGTTAGCACACCCCAAATATGTCCTTGCCGCAATCTCTGACATGCCCTGTCACGCAGCTGCGATGGTTCAACAGAACCGATACACGGCGATTCGCTGCGAGACACTAAGGCTTCTAAAATTATAGACGCACCCAGGAGCCCAACCTTACAAATGTGGAATGACAAGCCAACACCAATGGACCAATGATGACATTGTCAAGCAACAACACAATACACTAGGACCAGCCTGTAGAACTCAAGAGGCAGCAGCAGCAGCAGCAGCAGTCAGCGACAACCGGACTCATCAATTGGTATGTGCTCGCCACTACAAAAGCATGGGACGAGCGGAAAGAACCAATGGCACCCGTCAACTTTGCCTATTTCGTCTACTGAGCTGTTGGACCTGGGAAGGACGGGACGGCTTTCGCGAAAAAGTAGCTCTGTTCAATCACTTGGCAAACCTAGGTTGTTGACCCTATAATATATATATATATATTGAAATAGATTATGCATATATGTATGTGTTGCATCTCTGCGTTCACTTTGTCAAGTACTCGGACTCGGATACTTCAGTGGCAACGCTCCAGCCAGCACTGCAGTGCAGGAGACATCCGCGTCATATCCAAAACCAGTCTACAGTTGATCGCGGAGGGAAGCGGGCCAGCACTACGCCCATTTCAGCCATATGAGTTGGCTACAAACCATCGTGTCGCAGCTACGGCAGGCTGCATTGCCCCATTCAAACCTGCACTGCAAATGCAGCTCATGCCGATCCTGTAAGCACAGTCAATCCGCATTTTAAAGCGAGATCCTAGCATGTGCACTAGTGTCAACTTCGGATCAATCCGGATTGCACTAGTAGGGATAGTTCCATTTCTGGCAAAAAATGCTCCATTTTTTGCGGGTTCCTCTGACCAGTAGGGTCCTCGGGATTAACCCGAAGTTGATAGCGTCTTGGAGTTGTTGAAATCCTTTCCAGTGTGCTGCAATACATCCACCAAGCCAGCCTCAGCATGTGCTTGCCTCCCTTTCTTTCTCTTCTCCTTCTTCTCTTTGTGCGCTCGCTTCTGCTCCTCGCACATTGGTACTCTGTCCCTTTCCCTATTTCTGGCTAAGCCTGTCCTCAGTTGTGACGGCTTCTCCAGGGCCTGGGGCCTCTGGAGCCTGGAGACTTGTGACGCTGTGGCCCCGCAAAATATTCGGGTCGCACCTCCAAAGAAACGCGGCCAATCCCCGGGCATGGCGAAGGTTCCAAGGGCATCTCCTACGAAGAACACGAAAGGGATGTGCAATTCGAGTGCTGACAAGGATGTTGAGGGACTTGCAATACTGGGAAGTAAAGATTTACGGTGGTTTCAAGCAATTAGATACGCATAACACTGCCGGATCGTCCTGCCGTTCAAGTCTTCCGCGCGCTAAACATATGTACTGTCAATTCGCACGTGACAAGCAGCAGGCTGTTGGAACTAGATCACTTTTCCAGCCCCATGGTGGTGTTGTGGTTGTTGGGCGCAGGGGCGTTCGTGCCAACATGCTTTGCTGTTGGCTCCTTTGCTGCGAGTCAAGATGCCGAGCAAGCTCCCTGGATGGAATAGAAAGGCTTTTTGTAGCCAGGCTGAGCTTGCCGGCAAAATCCTAGACAAGCTGGAACAAGAGAACAGAAACGTAACGCTTACATTCGCGGGACCTTGGCCCTTTTCATGGGTCCAAAAACGATGCCATTCCTAAGTGGCTCGCGAAAGCAGCAACTCCTAGAAGCACTTTGCCACACAAAAGCACCAAGGGCCAAGAACTTTGAACTGTCGAAAGCTCACTTGTCAAGCCCTCACTCGCTTTTCGGAGTTTCACTATTCCGTTGCATATGCTATGGATAGCAGTCTCTTGTCATCACGGAACGTTTGCCACTTGCTCGTGGGATTGTTGCCTCAGGTCTGAGCCCACCTGGCTTGGAGAAACCAGCATCACCTCGTCATTGCCTTGAGTCTCCTCAGCTTTGTGATGGTTACTCAAGGCACCTTCGAAACTGCAGGTGTCCTTGGCTGACATGCTGCCTTCGGAGCGGACGTCAAATGCCTGATCCCAAACGTTGAACCTCAGTTTGCAATGGCTGCAGGTCGCCCTTGCAAGCCGATGGTACGCGCTGTCAAAACAGTGTAGGGACAATGTTCACTTTACGCATTTTGTGTTTCCCAAGATTTAGCAAACATGGCAGCGCACGTGTGGCTCCAAAGCGTTTTACAGACCGAACCCCACCAGTGGCCGATAGCTCGAAGTCATGTAACGCGCAGCATGCCGCCGTAGGCTAGGAATTTGGTCTGATTCGCTTTCGAAAAGGGTTTAGAGTTGGCACGCATCGGTTTAGGTTGCGTTCAAGTTTAGGGTGAACGGTTTACGAAAGCGCTTCCGGTTGGCTTTAGGGCGGGTTTAGGGATGAGCTAAGGTTGGTTTAGGGATGAGCTGCAACCCCACCGCTTGGCGCACCGCTCACCCTACAACAGCCGGATCTCACCCCGCAAGCAAAGCACACCACATCAAAAAGCGTGTTTATGTTGCGACTGCCCCGGCTAGTTCGCGCCCATGCGTTTTCACACTAGTTTTGACTGGTCTGAGCCAGGTTGCGAGCTTAAAAATTGTTCGAGCCGTGTCCACAAACGCATGGCACACCACAATTCTTCAAAGAAAAAGCCCTGCGCAAGGCGCAGGCTTTTGTCTTGCCGTTATTTATTCCTTCTTTAATTGTCTTTTTGCTTTATTCTTTCTTTGTTCTCTTCATCAGCTTTCCACACCGGCACGCCGCTTGCGGCACGAGATCATGGCTTGCGCGACGTGTAACCACAAGGGGCTGTAACAAGGCAAGAGGGGTCAGGTTGCGGGGATGAGTCCCACTTTAAATTTTGTTTTGTTGATTGTTTACCACCTTCGTAACTTGCTGACCTAGACTTGCAAGGGGACAGGAATTGGGGTTTGCTATCCACATTGTCTTAAAGTGTGGCTGCTTGGTTTCCTCCCAAACGGATGCAACAATATGTTGGCATTACCGAAAAGCTGGGTTGTTGAAGCCAGTGCAATGCAAAATAATATTTAAGAATCCAAACGTCCCAAAGCAACTTGAGATTCCAACACCAGCGGCTCACCACCTTCCGTCAAGGTCGGCAGGTACCTACTCCACAAACGAACGAAGCAGCCAACAAGGAGCTCACTCATGGCTCAGCTCACTTGTCACACAGCGCTCGATAAAGTGCAGCCTTGCACGTGCAACGCACCAAGCTCCATGCTCGGCATTTCGTGATCAATCAGGGCAGCGCACTACCAAGAAAAGAAATCACTGCGATGTCCTGCCTCGCTGTCTTTGTATTTAGCAAAAATGCCTTGGTCCAAGCTACGCTCTCGCATCCGCAATACTATGTTGATGTTGCACCGCCAAAGTTTCCGAGACAGCGCGTCGACAGCCAAGCAAATCATGCAGCGGTCAACCACAAGTGTTTGTGCCCTTTGTAGTCCCCAATCATAAGGCACTGTGCTTGAGCTCTTGAAAGTGCTGCCTGGTTGCTGTCCAATGCAGCAAGCTTGCCTGGATTGAAGCGCGCATACCTCAATCTGCATACCGTCTCCTCTCGCAAAGGTAAGCAGCAAGCGCAACGCATTGCAGATTTCCTGAGCCTGGCGCATTGCCTCTACGAGAGGCTGCCAATCCTTTTGCGGTCGGTTGAACCTCAGTCAAATGAATGATTGTCCAACTTTAGCTGGCAGCAAAGCTTGACCAACTCAGGCAGAGACACGTATTTGCGCACAATATGATCGTATATCTCTGCCTCAGATGGACTGTGATCATGTCGACAGGCTTGGATGCGTTCCGGGATCTTATGTTATAATATGTCTGATGTTCAATTGTGTAGCAATAGTACCAAGCACTGCCTATCTACCTATCCAGAGCTGTATCAGCCAGCCGTGGGCCAGCGAGAACGATTTGCTGAGAGCTAAATTCCAAGCACTCCTAATTGTCTAACCGTTTAACCCACTTCTGGGGCCACTGCCTCCTGGTCTTTGTACTTCTCCATGAGCCTGTGCTTCAACTGTTTGGATGTGCCAGCTGAATATGCAAGGCATTCCCAGCCTTGGCACATCATCGAACTTATCTGCATTCCACTTCGCGTAAACAGCCTGCAATGTCTCGCAGACCAGCGGCTCTGGCAAGAATTCAGAGGCTTCGCTGACAATGTGCATTCGCAAAACATGCAACAAATCCGTCATACCATGGTCAGCAGTTCTATTTTGCCACTTCGACCACACAGGAGATTGGGCAGTGATCACTGCCACCGAAAGCGCCCAGCACCTGGCAGTCGCTCACAGCAACCTGCAAAGGCTCAAAAGTATCAGGAAAACGCAACAAAACCACATCACATTACATGCCAAATGCAATGCAATACGCAATGGCAAAATGCAAATTACGGCTACGCAACTTGCAAGCAAAAGCGCTCCTGGCTTGAGCTGCACAAGCGCCGGCTGCCAAGAAAGTAATCAAGGCGCATCCCCTTGTTTGCAGGACGGCCATTGGTTCCTGAGACAAAGCACGACGTGTATGAAGCAAGCCCCTGCAGCATACAAGGGGCTATGTAGCAATATATATATATATGTAGATATATAGATATATACTTGCGGCATTCAATTGCTACAGGAATGGCTTCACAGGTAAATGAACTGGAAATCCGTCCAGGCAGAAAGTGCTTGGGCCTCATTCATCTGCTATCAAAACAAACCAAACCTTCATGCTGCCAGGCATCTTCGATTCCAGTATGTAAAGACACCCTCTGTCTCCGGATTTTTGAAGCGAAACATGTCGATCATATCCAGCCTATGCTTAGTAACGCGTTGCACGGAAAATGCATCCACGCAAGTTTCACACTTGCTTCTCACAGCATTGCCCTGCGCACGCTCTGCATTTTTGGCTGGTACCACGGTTTTAGGGCTGCCCAAACCCCTTTACAAAGCGCTACCAGTTCAGAGCAGATCCGGGCGGCACAAACAAGCTACACCCCAAGAGTGCCCAGCTCCCAGGCTTCCACCATCCCCACCGTGCGGACCATCCCAATTGCCCCGAGTATGCCCACTACCCCCCACTTGCCCGTGCTTGACCTGACCATCCTCAGTAATAAGCCCCAGCTGCCTGAATGCATAAGCTAATTGATGCTCATTGCACCTTTGACTGCCGCAAGCGTTGACCACTCCAAGCGTACCGAGCGCCCAAACAACCCTGGCGTGGTCCTATACTCCCGGCTGAGTCAACCCCAAATCAGGATTCGGGTTCAGTTAGGTTTGTGGCAGCAAGGGTTGGGTTGGTTTAGGGTAGGTTTAGGGTAGGTTTAGGGTAGGTTTAGGGTAGGTTTAGGGTAGGTTTAGGGTAGGTTTAGGGTAGGTTTAGGGTAGGTTTAGGGTAGGTTTAGGGTAGGTTTAGGGTAGGTTTAGGGTAGCTTTTTCATTTCTTTGTTGTCGTTTTGTTATTTATTTCCCTGTTTTGGAGGGGGGGCATGTCCATGTCGCTCCGCAGCCATCGAGAAAAGCCTCCCATCCGAACAGGGTGGACTCGGAGGACTTGCTCTGCAAAGTGTAAAGCAAAAGTCTCGGAATTGCTCCAGGTCACCCTCGCACAAGCGCAGAGCGTTGGATTCTCCATTGGAGTCTTGGGAAAATGCATCAAATCTCAACCCATCGCAAGGAGGAGCAAGAGCAAGGCTTTCCCACTGTTCAGTCGAGAGCCTGGCTCCACCTTTTCACATTTGGAGGTCACCTTCAGCATTTGGTGACTGATTCCTTGTTTCCAAGCTAAGGCAGCAAACTTGGACGCAGAAAGTCGCCGCGTGGTTTCGGGTAGGTTTAGGGTAGGTTTAGGACTGGCTAAGGGTTTAGGGTGCTTGTAGGGTTGGGTTGGGTTGAAAGGTTGGCCGATGGGGTGCAAATCACAAGTCCTTCATCTTTCAACCTGGAAATCGCAACCTCCAACGAACAATTCACACAAAGGATTCGCCGATCGAAGCAGGAAGTACGAATGCTGCGAGTAGTTCAACTTCGACGCAACTCATTCCATGTGGTTGAGGCCAGGGCAAACCTGCAAAAACCTGCATGCTCGAGCAACGCACAGAGCTTTGGCGAGCTCAGCATACACCTGCAAAAGTACGAGCGCTGCGACCTGGTTGCCCTTGATCCACTTCCAGCCCGCCCGGTGCCAACATAACATAAAAGAAATCAGGGAATGTTATTGAGGCAGCGCCTCTCTCAAGTGTTCGGCAGATTCTAGAAGCTGCGCTAACAAAAACGCTACTATCAACGCGCGCATCAGGCGCTGCCAAGCGCTGCAGCCATTGCTTTTGGCCCTAAGCCCCGTCTGACCCATGGAACTCAGCGGAGCACCCAACATCAGCACGCACGAGTGCTGCCAAGGCCAAGAGGCATGCTCGTTTATCAAAGGGAAAATACAAAAACTCTGGGCTGGTACAAAGGCAAAGCATCGGTCTACCAAGCTCAAGCATTGGTCTACGCGCACCACGGTCAGAAGCGCTGCACGGTATCTTTTTCTGGGACGTTAGACGCGCTTGTCCCCCACGCACGGTGCGTCCCCAATCCGGCCCCAGTTCACTGACCCTAGGGCTCCTAAACTGCTTCCGTGATTCTGAACGCGACAAGATGAGGAATGCGCCGCTTCCAAACGCTCACGTTGACCAAGGCGTTGTCCAAAGACCATCATCAAACATCGTGGCTGCTGCTACGCCCCGGAACTGGCCGAGCTCCCTTTGGCATTGCGACCCAATTTGTTCCAAGATGGCAAGGTTGGATGAGCTGTGACATGCACCGCAGTCCCCAAACTCGCAGCGCGCTTGTAGTCAACGCCGAGTATCCAATTGTGCAGTCAAGCAACTCAGCAAGCCAAGCTGTGAAGCTCTGCCTCTCCTGCGGTGTTGTACCAGCTTGTCGCCTTGTTCGCGCCGATGTGGGGTTCCAGAAATCGATGTCCTCAGACAAATTGGCCCGTTGCTTGGCCCGTTGCTTTGGCTCCAGCTGGACGCCTCATGGAAAAAAGCCGATATCACCCGGCCTCGTGTGCTACATTGAGATCTCCGCAAAGCAGCAAACCCCCTTCGCAGCCAGCCTTGGGCCAGTGCAACGTCAAAACCCACATGCAAGTGTCAAATTGTGGTTATTCTGGCTCCGAGCCTCCGTGTCCAACTTCTTCAAGTATGACCGCAGCTTGGAATCCCATACCTTGAGTGAGCCATACAAGCGGCCATTGAAATTGCTGCCTGGGCAACCCAAAGTTTGTCAGGGTTTCTAAGTCCGAAGGTTCAACAGTTTGCCCTGCTATTTGAACACTGGCTGCAAGCAGCTTGCTTACATGATTTAGCCCTTTGAGACCTATGGCGCTGCCTGGCTCTGGAGTTGACATCTGTCTCTCGTGTGCGTCATGTTGCTGTCCGAGCTTCGCTGACACGGTAGTCCAGTCGTGCAAGTCTTTGTCCAGAGTTTGGAGAATAAATTCCGACAACGATCAAACCGCATTGCAAGTCCAAACGAACCTGCATTGGTGGCCAGCTTCAGGTGCTTCAACGCGCTCATGCACGTCCAAATGCCATCTTGCCCTGTCCATTTTTGCCGTGGCTCGCTACGCCCTTCCGCTGCATCTACCTCATCAACCTCTCCAACAGCTGCTCGAAGCACTCCGCCACCGACTGATTGGCGGTAAATTGCGCAAACACCGGAATAGCCTGGTCCAGGCTGAAAGTCTGAGGAAGTCTGAGGCATGCACACAATCACTGCATGCACCAGCCTTTGCGCGCCTTCGAAACTGCCCACGTAGCTCCTGAGCAAAGTTGCCGCCGGCACAAAACGGCTAGGGCACAATGCAAACCATGCCAGAAAAAGCGCGTGAGGACCAGGGTGCGATGGCTCTCACCCGGGCAGGCCAAATCAAATATTCGCAGCAATTCAGGTGCAACTTTTGGCACATGAATGTCCTGGAGTTTGTGCTCCTGGAGATTCAGCGGGGAAGTTACAACCGCTTGGGAAAGTCCGCTGCAAGTTGAGATGGATCGCAAAAGTCTAAGTGTCGTACACAATCAAGAACGGATCTTGGCAATGCAACATAATGCAACAAACGATTTGACCAACGAGGGCACTCCTGGAGGAAGGTAATGTCAGGCTGCTCTCGCTCCACCAGCTTCCGCAGCTCGTCCCCACTTTCGCGCTTCAACATGGATCTGGGCCAAGCATGCCGCTTCAATCATTCACATCTGGATTGTTTTCTTTCAACTTCCACGCTTAATTCATTGCTTGAGAAGCAAGCCATGGCTGGTGTGTGTGTGGGTGGGAACACAGAAGTTCTATAAAGGCTGAACAGGATGAATTAGCCATGCAGGGTCGAAGCAACACAGAATGAGCAATTAAGCAGCAAGGCGCGCGCAAACACAAGAATTCACGAACTCTCAGGCGAAGGTGTAAGGATGTTCATCTCAACTCATTGTTGCCATGGACGGCTGGCAGCGCACAGGCTGCAAACCTACTGACATTTTGAACTTAACCGGCCTCAGGCTTGCAACATTCCACGACAGTATTTTGAGCTGCTCAGGCCGATTCAGCCTGCCAACGAAGCTCGCAAGTTGGGTGGTAAAATACAAATGTGCTCACACATCTTGTGCAGCTTCTCCGCAGTGCAAGTAGCTGGAACATTGGAACACAAATGAAACATACAAATTGCAGCCCAGTCTCATACTGCTTGTCAATGAACATGCAATGTACCTCGGCGTGCAAAGGCGGGCAATGCAACGAAACAGATTGCAGCTGATATCCTTAGCATCCTGCCTTTTCCATGCTGCCATTCCGCTTGCAATCATAAGCGCTGGAAGGAGCACCTTAGCTTTAGCCTTGGATCAGTCCACCAACCTCAACCTGCCAAGTCTGTCAACGCGCTAAACAACGTTACTGCCGCCAAGATGCCAGTGCACGACGCAATTTCATCGCGGGCGAGCCATGAACCGCTCAACTGCTTTGCTGCTTGGGCTGGAGTGGCCCTCCCTCAAAGTCTACGACACTTTTGTGTGCTTCTAGGTTCCAGCAGTATGTTGCATACCGGGCTGTTTGTAGAGCCGTTGCTCTGACAAACGCATTTGATGGAGCTCTATTGAAAATTGCTTGGACTTCATTGCCATTGGCCAATTCTGCAATGGAATGCAGAGCATGCAGAAGATCGATTGCCACGCCAAAGCATCATTCTTCCGACAATACGTAAACATTCGGAAGCAGATTATCCTATTCTCCTGCCTCAATGAGCATTCGGTACGTATCCTGCACCGTCTTGCCCATGTCCTTATGCACAAGGCAACTCAACACACATCCTGCAACGTGTATGTGTGAACACATACATCATACTGAGGAAATATATTTACGTATGACTAGTGTGTAGTGTCAAATACGTGTCTCTGTTCAAGGAAGGAATGGGGAGAAAGACAAAAGTCTTCCGAGGCCCAAGCCGCAGGTGCCCAAGGGCTGACCAAAAGCAGCGCTTGGGCATGTGCCCTATGCGCCCCCCTGCGTCGGATTTGATAAAATGAGTTCCTTCCAGACGCAAGAACACGCATCTCAAAGTCAGTGTGGACCGCTAACAAATGATCCATGGCAAAGCTGCCATCGCAGGTCATCTGCAATAACAAATTTGCCTCCGGCCTCAATTTCCGCTGAGGTCAGCAGGGCGCTGTGTCTACAGTTGACAAATTGCAATCGTGCTTGACTGTGCTGGTGCTGCTGTTGCCGCAGGTGCTGCAGGTGCTGCTGGTGCTGCTGGTGCTGCTGGTGCTGCTGGTGCTGCTGGTGCTGCTGGAGCTCGTACCAATGATTCTCATGGTGACCTGCTTCTAGTTCTATTGGTTTCCAAAGTAGTAGTTTGCTGCATGCTGCTTGCGATGGCTGTAGCAGTTGTACTTTTGTCGTGCTTGCTTCGCTGGCGCATAATATGGACTCGGAGGGCTCCAATGGACGCGAAAGTAGACTGCGCTGGCTGATGCAGCAAATGGTTTGGTGCCTACCCGCACTTCCTCCATGTGACCATGCAGTCTAAGTCTCAGCCACCTTGAGAACGAGCAATTAGACATCAAGGTTCTCTGCTCAAGATTGTAAATCTCAAATCAGCATAAAGCATCAACCCACAATGCCTGACCGAAAGTCTTTGTGCGATGAGAATGTGCGTCTGATTTCAAGAGTTGCCAGCACTGCATAATGCTGTATTGCCAGCAGGTGCAGGGATGGTCTCATCTGGTATCACATGCATCCTGTTAAGCTTGGCAACCACAGCAACCACAGCATCTTATGCCCCAGGCATGCTAAGAAACTCTGGCAGCTCTTTCAGCATCGAATTCGATTGTGAAACCGTGGATGAAACGACCAGAAATCGTGGCTAACCTCTACCACCAAATCGACGTTTGCCCATGGAGGAACCTGCATGCAGCTTGCAATCACAACAAGCCAATGAAACGCTTCTGAAAGCTGCACATTTGATCGGTTGATCATTGATTTGTTGACCGTCATCTGTGATGTCTCATCACGGCCAGACTTGGCCCCAAGTTTGTGCCGTCTGGCGAAAGCAGAGTCTGCTTTTTGATACTGGTCCATGTCATCAAACTTCATTGCTGATGCATGCTGATGCTTGCTGATAGTTGATTTGCTGCACACATGCCTGTTGCCAGCCCGGGCCACCGCTTCCAGCCTAAAGGATCCACTGCAGAAACGGTTGAAGATGGGCTTTCCAAATCGCCTCGGCATTGGTCAGTGCTCTGGTTCAAAGAGGTGTCGGACTCCAAAGAGCGAGCCTTTGCTGGCGCTGTTCGTCAATGTGCCGCGGGAGCTAGAACCTTCACAGGACAATGCCAGAGGCCCAATGTCAACACCAATCTAATCAATTTATTAGTTTCTGTATTCTATTGCGTCCTATTGTTCTAACAATCTGAGCTTCTGAGCTCCTGGCGCGGCCGACTTCTGCCAGGCCTTGCACAGGCCCCCCCCGCATGCCTCTCCATTGTTTCAGTGCCAATGCTGGACCTCCAAGGTGCAAGGTGAAGGACCGAAAGAATTAAATCTGAATACCGTGTTTGGTGAACCCTGTCTTTTGTTGGGTTCTAGCAAGTGCTCTCTTGATTATGTGTTGCTCCTGCTACTTGTCATACTCATGTCAAGCATGCCCTTCGCCGCATGCTTAATACATTTCCTGGCAACAAACACATTGAGTGGAATCACCTCGGGCAGAACAAGGCATCAAACAAAACCATCCGCTGTTGCCCACAGAACATAGCCCGTGAGCGGTAGGTCTTTGAATATGTGGCCTCGAAAATGAATTCCCATGGCAACTGTTTGCTACCAAGTCAAGCCTTCAAGCATGATCTCCAGCAGCAATGTAGCCTTGCAAACTGGGGACGGTGCCCTCGCCGCTGCGCAGCTGACGAGTCCTTTCAACGTGGTCGAGCTGCCATCTGTTTCACGTTGCCAGGGAGACTCTCACAAGCAACATGGCGGCCTCGCCGAACATGCTTGCAGCACCATCTGGCATTGGTGTCGTGGTCTTGCTGAAGTCCTCACCATATGGATTGAAGATGTTTTCCCTCACTCCCTCAACAACAATACAATCGTTTTGTATGAATGCCTTTCCTGGCATCTGGCGCCTTGTCACAACTTGCAACCAAAACCATGGCACCAGCAAGACTGCTCTTGTAGATGAGATGGTTTCAGTTGTGACTGGTCAGTTCTTTTCTTGCCCGTGCTTTTCATGGTGTTCTTAACTGAGCGCAATGGTAATGTTATTTCAAACTGGTCATGAGAAAAAGGCTCCAAAACCTCCATGACAATATGCATACGCACTGCGACAGCACATTTAGATGCTAGGCCGCAAGCAGAAGCACATCCACACGGAGCAAAAGCAGCATGACAAGCAAACTCGTCTTGGAACAACTCAGACCCAAACACGCCTGCTCATGTCAGTTATGCAATCGAACAAAGAGCAGGCCTCGATTTCCGGAGGTTTGCTGCCACAGCGCTTGCCAGGTGCCTGTCATTCCAGCACATCAAGGGTGGAGGGATCACTTGCGCCCACACGATTGGGATCACTTGCGTCGGATCACTTGCGCCCATTTTGCTAAAAAGGCGTCACTTACGCCCATAAAAAAAGGATCACTTGCGCCCATGGTCATTTGCAGTGCTGTGGCGGGAGTGGGCGGGGAGGGGGCGGAATAGCGTGCACCGCCCAAGCAGCTGCGCCATGCTTGCGGCCTGTGCGGCGGGGGTGAGGCCCACTGCCGGGGTGCCTATCCCAGAAGGGAACTGGTACCCTGTGGTAGTACAGGTCGTTGATTTGGTCGCTGGATCTATTCCGGAGAGTCTCCAATATGCCAATATGGAGGATTGGAGGATGGATTGTCCCTGGTGGCTTGGATTGACTGTTATACCTGTAAAGCGGTCTGCAAGCTTTTTCTCAATGTACCATGCGTCGAATGACTGTACGATTGAAGTAGAAGGGCCTTGATCCAAATGTTGCAGGAGATCAAGTGTTCAACAAACCAAACACAAAACAGACACAAATTTCTTTTGATCTCCAGCACTAGATATGAAATATCTTTGGCTTCATGGCCTTTGGCCGTAGCCTTGATTTATGCCGTAGCCATGTGTATTGAAATACTGGATTCATCCTGTTTTTCTGCGCGGATGAAATGTCTTGACTTGCAAAATGGGAAACAGTCTGTACTGATTCTGTGAGATACCTACATGTATCTAAAAGATGATGTACAACGCTATGTACATGCGGGACGGATGTGAAACTATTGATCTCTCACTGAATAGTCTTGTTGGCGGTGAGGACCAATTCGGTTGAAATTTGTAGTGCCGATCTCGGGTGTTCTCTCAGTCGAGCTTCAGAAAAACTTCTTTCCTTGGCGGATCACTCAGACCAGAGGAGGTCGAATGGATGCCAAAGGTGGCAGCTTCATCAGTCCACGGTACCACCGATAGCTGCTGTCGGATTGACTGCCATAGTCTCCATAATCATTCCAGGTCGAGTCGCCGTAGTCTTTCCACTGCTTCGGATTGCCCCAGCGCTGCTTGTTGTATTCCTTGTACTCTTGCTGAGTCCAGGATTGCTTCTTCTTGAGGTGCTCCTTGGATCGCTCAAAGTTTCGCTTCCTGGTGGCAGATCTGCTGCGGATGTAAACCATCAGCGGACTGTGTGAATCGGAATCTTGAGAGCCATTCCTGAACATCTCGTTGTTCACGTGCTTGAAGCGTTCCGCGGATGAGACCTGATAGTCGAAAATGGCAGTGGTTTCCAGTTGATCATCTTTCATTGCGTTCATCTCTTCCTTCCGGAAAGCCTGCTGGATATTTGTTTCGCCCCATCCAAATACGAAAGTCCTCATAACATCTGGGAATGTTCGGTCATACCCGGATCCAGTCTTCATGTATAGGTGATGACGGACGATGGATTTTAGGGCGCAGGAAGTCTCCATTGCATATTCCATCCTGTCTACGAGTGGCAAGTTCTCCGTTTCATTCCACAATTTCTGATATGCCTTCATGAGGATATTCATGAGACCGTTGGCCGGATTGTAGACGTATTGGAGTTTGCTGTCGGTGTTCGCGGACTTGTTGGCGTCTCCGGTGATCGCATCGCATTGGTACAGTGTCACGAGCGGCATGATTTCGTTCTGAAAATCTGCCCGTGCTGCTCCATGGTTGATTGATGGATGGGTGTGAAAAACTCCAATGGTAGCAAACGGGAGGTCTGCCCTCGTTACGTGGCGGCTGTCAAACTCGAGGAGTGAGTCGTTGGATGATTTTGGAAACATACCACGATATTCATCACTCTGCTCGATGTGGAGGACGACAATCTCCTTGTTACGCCCATGTCCTTGGACAGTGGTGCGTGGCGGCAACCTCGGTCCAATGTACTTCTTGGATTCCGTGAACATGGATGTTCCTGTAGT